GCAAGAAAATCAGAAAATGCTGGAACTGCTTTGCAGGTTTGGCAGCTTGTGTAAAGAGGACAATAGAGTTAATGATTAGGGTGGGTGACCCTACATCAGAAATGTACGTTTGGTCAAAGTGGCAGGTCCTTTTCGGTGAAGAATATTCACGGACCAACTCTTTTTTTTGTTTAAAAAAAGCAGCCAGGAAGCAGTGGCCTGGTGGTGATGGACTAGCAATCCAGAACCCCAGGCCAACATTCAGGAGACACGGATTCGAATCCCGCTACGGCGGTCAGTGAGATCTGAATTCAATACAATTTAAAAACTCATAAAATAGTGACCATGTAACGATCGCCATAATAAACCCCATCTGGTTTAATAATGCTCTTTAAGGAAGGAAATCTGTCATTCTTACCTTATCTGGCTCTGAAATACCCTAGTGAGTCACTCAGTTCAAGGGCAAAAACTGTTGGCTTTGCCAGTGATTCCCCTATATCTAACAATGTCTAAAACTGAGGTTGGGTTGAATTAATTTCAGGAGGAAGCGTTTGTTGAGTGTATTCAGCTTCCTACAACAATATGTTGGGGATCCGACTACAGACTAGGTTACTTTGGATCTGGTGATACAATAGTGAGGCACATTTAATAAATGATCTCAAAGTTGAACATCCTCTAGCAAGCAGTGACCATACCAAGGTAGAATTTAACATTCAGTTTGAGAGAGAGAAGCCTAGGTCGGGAACAACTGTGCTAAGTTTAAAATAAGGGTAATTACAAAGAAATGAGGGCAGAGTTTGCTGGAGTGGGCTTGGAAAAGGATTCAGCAGTAAAGATAGCTGACATTCAGGAGAATAGTTTGTAGTTTAAAACAAAGGTATAGCCCAGTGAGGAAAGAAGGATTCTACGAAGGGGATAAGCCAACTGTGGTAACCAGGGAAGTCATGGATAGAATCAAATTGGGTGGCATGGTGGCTCAGTGGCTAGCACTGCTGCCTCACCGTGCCAGGGACCTGGGTTCAATTCCAGCCTTGGGGTGACCGCCTGTTTGGAGTTGCAAGTTCTCCCCGTGTCTGCATGGGTTTACTCCAGATGCTCCGGTTTCCTCCCACAGTCCAAAGATGTGCAGGTTAGGTGGATTGACTATGCTAAATTTCCTATAGTGTCTAAGGTGGGAAATGCAGGGATATGGTAGGGGGTGGGATGCTCTTCCGCGGGTCAGTGTTGACTTGATGGGCCAAATGCCCTGCTTCTGCACTGTTGGGATTCCATGAAAGAAAAATAATTCAATTAGGCAAAGATTAGTGGCAAACCTGAAGTTTAGAAAGGTTTTAAAAACCAACAAATGATAACCAAAAACAGTAAGGAGGGAGAAGAGAAATATCGAAGGTAAATTTGCGAGTAACATCAACATAGACAGCAAGAGCTTCTTTAAATATATAAAAAGGAACAGAGAAGCCAAAGTGAACATGCATCCCGCAGAGAATGAGGCTGCGGAAATGACAGGAACCAGGTAAGGACAGAGGAGTCGAATAAATACTTTGCATCAGTCTTCACAGTAGAAGAAATTAATAATGTTCCAAAATTACTAAATAATCAAGGGGAAAAATGAGGAAAGGAAATAAATACAATTAGAGAAAACATGCTCAGTAAAGTAATGGAGGCTCAGGACTGATGAATTTCCTGGACCTGATGGGATGCATCCTGGGATATTAAAGGAAGTAGGTACAGAGATAATGGACGCACTGGTAGTAATCTTCCTGATATCCTTAGATTCTGGAGAAGCCCCAGAGGATTGGAAAACTACCGATGTAACAACACCTTTATTTAAAAAGGGAGGGAGACAAAAAACAGGTCGGCCAGTTAGCTGTTATTGGGAAAATGTTAGAGTCAATTTAAAGGATGTAATAGCAGATCAAGCTGAACCAGCATGAAGGGGAAATCATGCCTGCAGAATTGTAACGAGCAGGATTGCTATTAGAGAGGCAGTAAATGTAATATATTTGGATTTTGAGAAGGTGTTTGATAAGGTACCACACATTAGGCTACTTAAAAATAAAAGCCCATGGTGTTGGAGGTAATATATTGACATGGACAAAGGATTGGCTAAATAATAGAAGACAGAGTTGAGATTAGGTTGGTGTTTTCAGGGTGGCAACCTGTAACTGGTGGAGTGTCACAGGGTCAGTGCTGAGTACACAATTATTTACAACATATATTAATGACTTAGATGAGGAAGATGAATGTACTGTAGCAAAGTTTATGGATGACGGAAAACCAGGTGGGAAGGGAAGTAGAGAGGATGTCATAAAGAGTTTGCAGACTAAAAGATTGGGCAAAAACTTAGCAAGTGGAAAATAATGTGGGAAAAGGTGAGGTTGTGCAATACAGAGATTAGAGGAGCTGAATATTATTTGAATGGAGCAAAACTGCAGGAAGCTACAACAGAGGCATTTGGCTGTACTTGTGTATAAAACAGAAAACGTTAGCATCCAAGTTCAACAGGGTAATAGGGAAGGCAAATGGAATGTTGGCCTTTATTCCAAAGGGAATGGAATAAATGAGTGGGAAGGTTTTGCTCAAATTATGCAAGGCTTTAATCAGACCACAGCTGGAATACAGTGAACAGTTTTGGGTCATTTATTCAAAGGAAGATATACTGGCATTGGAGGCAGTCCAGAGAAGGTTCAGTAGGCTGATCCTGGGAGGCTGAGGGGAGGTTAAGTAGGTTGGGCCTATTGAAACATACTCAGGGGGCTTGATAGAGTAGATGCTGACAGGTTGTTTCTTGTGGGAAGGACTAGGACCAGAGAACATAACTTTGGAGTAAGATGTCTCCTACGTAAGATAGGGATGAGGAGGAATTTCATCTCCCAGAGGGTAGAGAATCTGTGGAATTTCTTACCATAGAGAGTTATTGAGGCTGGGTTGTTAAGAATGTTCAAGGCTGAGATAGATAGACTTTTAATCAGGGAATCAAGTGTTATTGGGAAAGGCAGAAAAGTGGAGCTGAGGATTATCAGATCAGTCATGATGTCATTGTGTCAGAACAGACTCAAATGGACTGAATGGCCTACTTGCTCTTATGTTTTAAAAATGGGAACAGTTGAAGAAGCCACAATGGATTTGAAAAAGCCAGGTCCATTCAACAACAGTAAATTACTTTGATATAACTTTTTATATAAATTTCCCAAGTGAGGACTGCAATCAGAAAAATTTTTGAAGTGCTTGGTCGCACAGCTAGCTTTTACGGACCGATTTAAAGAATGAGGGAGTGAGAGAGATAGAATGGTTTAAAGTTCAGGGTGGGAATTTCAAACCTTAGGGCTGAGATGGTGGGATCATTAATATTTGGGGTGAAGGAAATGAGGACAAACAAGATTGCTAAATTGACAGTTCTCTGAAGATTTTTGGGCTAGAGGGGGTTATGGAAACAGGAAGCAGTAGGCCATGGAGGGATTTGAACAAGAGGTATTTGCAAGCTATCGGGACCAGAATCACAGAATAGCTACAGCAGATTAAAAATAAAAGCCATTTGGTCTATCGTGTCTGTGCTGGTTCTATGGAGGAACAATTTACCTGATGTCCCTCATGCCCACAATTTGATCACTAACAAAGTCTCACATCATAAAGACTGAATTTCAAATTCCATTGGTGTAAAACAAGGGCCCAAGTGCAGTCACAAATCAGTGGCTGTGGTGTAGGAGGTGATTCAGCCCATCATGTCAGTGTTGGTTCTCTAATGCAGGAGCATACTTAATAAAAGCCATGGTCCCATCTTCTCCCCATAATCCTGCCTATTCTTTCCTTTGAGATAACAAACCAATTCCTTCTTGAAAGCCTCAAATATTGAGGCGTCCATTGCACTCTCCAGGCAGTAAATCCTGGATCTTACCGTGTGAAGATGTTTTCCCTCATGTAGCAGTCACTTTTTCTGCCAATTATCATAAATTTATACCCGACTGGTCTCAATGCTTCTACCAAAGGGAACAGTGTCTCCCCATTTACTGCTCCATTCTCCTCCAACGGGAACGCCCCATGTTTTCCAAATGAACCATGTAACTGGAGCTCTTCAACCCAACAACCAAGGGAAAAATGAGGAGTGAGGTGCAAATGGGAATAATATCTCTATAGAGGCTGCTATCATGTGACCTCTTATATCATTGATATATGCTATTGACATATTTAAGTATTAACCTTTTACTCTACAAGATGGGCCTCTCATGAGGAGATTTTGGAGCTGTGAGGGGTTGGGGGGGTGGCTTCTGGTAAGGAGTAAGGGTTCAATCCGCCTTGGGCGAGTAGTCAGGTGTATTTGGGGCTCTAGGAGGTAGTGGGGTAATTGTGGCTCTGGTGGGTAATGGGGGATAATTGTGGTTCTGATGAGGGGTAATTAGGTTCTGGTTGGTAGTGGGGGGTAATTGAGGCTCTGGTGAGGGGTATTTAGGTTCTGGTGGGCAGTGGGGGTAATTGAGGCTGTGGCAAGGGGTAATTAGGTTCTGGTGGGCAGTGGGGTAATTGAGGCTCTGGTGAGGGGTAATTAGGTTCTGGTGGGTATTGGGGGTAACTGAGGCTCTGGTGAGGGGTAATTAGGATCTGATGGGCAGTGGGGTAATTGAGGCTCTGGCGAGGGGTAATTAGGTTCTGGTGGGTAGTGGGGGGTAATTGAGGGTCTGATAAGGGGTAATTAGGTTCTGGTGGGTAGTGGGGTAATTAGGATCTGGTGAAAGGAAACATTTCGCTCACTCTCATTACGTTCCACATGAACCTTTTGTGGACGGATCCCACGGTCTGGGAGCCGGCGCTATCTGAACGAACAGACCCGCGTGCTGTGAAAACTATAAACTCGCCAGAACAGGCTCAAAAGTTGCACTTGGGTATTTATGAGGAAGGTACAATGAGCAGAAACGAGGCTTGAGTGTGGATTAGTGAAGGGGGATGGGGGAAGGCAGCGGACTATTCACGGGATGATTTGCGTTTTTAATTCGGGAGAGGCTGCTTGTATTTGGGTTAACAATGGGGAGCTTGCTCCTGATTCTATAAAACAGCCTGGGAATCGCTGACTTAGTGAAACTCCCAGGTGGAAACTGCTAGAACACAGCAGCCTGACACAGACCAGCGATAGCCGGGTTTATAAAACCGTTTTGTTGGATTTCTGCGCTGATTTTTCACTGATATAAAATCTCACTGAGATGACTTCCCGCTATCTTCCTGCTAAAACGATTTTATTTGAACGGGGCAGGTTTGGCCTGACATACCGCATTCCGGCTCTATGTTACCTGGCCCACTCTGCGGCCATTCTGGCCTTCGCTGAAGAGAGACTGAGCCCAGTTGATGTTGACGCTACTGTCCTGGTCTTCCGCAGGGGAACAGTGTCCAGGAGCCACGTACAGGTGAGTGGCTTGGGCACAATGGAGAAAAGTTGTATTTTCTGTAGTATCCAACTTCAAATATTTTGGGATGCCCTCTTAGATTTTGTTTCACTACTCATCTTTTGAAAACAAAAAAAATGAGTATAAGAAGTTGGGAAGTCGTGCCGAGGTTGTACAGGACATTGGTGAGGCCTGTTCTGTAGTACTATGTCCAGTTCTGGTCGCCCTGTTATAGGAAGGATATTATTAAGCTGGAGAGGGCTCAGAAGAGGTTTACCAGGATCTTGCTGGGTATGGAAGGTTGGAGTTATAAAGAAAACCTGGATAGGTGGAGACACTTTTTCACTGGAGTGTAAGAGGTTGAGAGGTGACCTATAGAAATTTATAAATTAATGTGGGGTATAAATAGTTAATGGTAGTTGTCTTTTTCCCTAGGATGTGGGATTTCAAGACTAGGCGGCACGCTCTCTTTTTAAGGTGAGAGGAGAGAAGTGTTTAAAGGCATCTGGGGCAAGCTTTTTTTTTAAGAGGGTGGTTTGTGGAATGAGCTTCCTGAGGAACTGGTCAATGCAGGTACAGCTGCAATGATTAAAAGACACTTTAAGTATGTGTTTAGGAAAGGTTTGGAGAGGTATGGGTGAGGAGCATGCAGCTGGGACTGGTTTAGTTTGGGATTACATTCAGTATGGACTAGTTGGACCAAAGTCTGTTTCTGTGCTGTATGACTCTATAACTGAGCCAGTAGAGGTGTGTGTGTGTGTGTACACACTAGGAAAGTCTTCTGATCTTCCTACACAAACACAGGAGATGGTGCATCCACCAGATCCCTTTGAAGTGGGGAGTCGAACTGTAGAATCTGTGACCTGCTCTGTACTCATTGAGATTGACCAGTCTGCCTCCCCAATGCCCTGATTTCCAAACCCCCCCCAGACTCCATAGATGTCCAGCCAATCAGCCTCCTGGACAGATGAACTTTTCACTTTTTTCAGAAGAATAAAACTTCTCCTCATCCTCACCCCACCCTATCTGCCAAAAACAGAAGGACCGCAAAACCCCTCTCAAACAGCATGCATTTCACTCCCACCTGTGCGGGCCCAATTCTGTTTTTCTCTGTAGGTCAGACAGATGGAAATAGGCCATGTAGCTCCTCCAGCTTATTTCACTGCTCTGGGATCAAGGAACAATGCCTTTGTCCAAACCTCCACACGTTTTGGTATAACAAAGATCGTACTCATTTCAGCTGATAAGATTTAGTGTTGGAATGTTGTTTCCACAAATAACAAATTTCTATCAAGCTCTTGTGTGTTGATGTCTCCTAATTATATTGTGTAATATCTTAATGTGATGAATTCCTGAGAATACAACCCTCATTTGTGTAATAACATCTTGTAATGTATCCCTTGGAGTCCACATATCATGCTGGTAAGCCATCATCCCCCTCTTTGCAAGGTCAGTATATCCCTTCTCAGGTGTGGTGCCTGAATTAGCCTCAATACTTGAGTTAAGGCATATTCAGGGCTTTGTATAACTGAATCTTCTACCTACTGTTATGGACATTCAGGCTAACGTTTCACACGTTGTTCTGAATTTTCAACACCTGAGTATTGATCTACAGAAATGGACCTTAAATCTCTTTAAACCTCCACTGTTTCTAAAACTTTACTTGCTACACTATTCATTGTATCAGTTAATATCTTAGTAATTTTATCACTTCTTCTGCTTGCAGTACTTGTGACATTAATTATGATTTTGAAATGTAGCTTTCTATCCCATTATCTGTTTGTGGCCACTGCTGCTAGGCAATTTGCTGCCACAATTGTTTATCTAGCAACATCCTTTATCATCCACTGGAGCTCATCTGCAACCATTCTGTGACATCTACCATCCAACTACTTCTTGTCCTTCTTTCTACTATCCTACACTTTCTTCTCTAGAAGAGATCTCTGTAGTTTTCCTTGCTCCAATCAAATGGTCAAAATACTGACATTTTCTTTATTGGAAGTCACTTCCTTGGTATCCTTTTTGCTGTCGGAATTTCAAGCAATTTCAATTCTCTTCAGTTTCTTCCCACTTTTGATGCAAGACCGTTTTGACTTGTCATCGAAATAATTAATAAACTGATAAATATGCCAATGGTCACGGTCCCAGTGCTGATCTTGCAGGATGTCACTAGTCACATTCTCCCATTTCAAGATTGAAATGTTTTTAATGCTTCCTCTTTTTATTTTTGTAGCACTCTTACATTTCTATCATGTTCATCTGGGTCTGTCCTATATTTTGCATTCTTGTGTGTAGTCTTGTGGATCTCTTCCTCCTTGAGTTCTCCATGGCTGTTTCTTTTTTTTTGGGCTGTCCCCTGGGGGTATAAATTACTTTGATATCATTATTAAAAGTGTAATGGAGCATCTCTAACTGATCTTCCATCATCTTACACATTAACATACTGAAGTATTAGCATTTCTGAAAAAGGTCTAGGCCCGAAACGTCAGCCTTCCTGCTCCTCTGCTGCTTGGCCTGCTGTGTTCATCCAGCTCTACACCTTGTTATCTCACATTAACATACTTGCCCAGTTTACTGTGCACAGTCTCTGTCTCATTACATTGAAATATGTAAATCTAGAATTTTATTATTTTGCATTTCTCCCTTTCAAACACTAGTTGAAAGTGATATTATGATCACTGTTCCTGCATCATTAGATGGTCCATGTAATGTGATAAACAATGTTTCTATGACTTATTACTGCAGAAAATTTTTCTTAACACACTTGGAACTATATGACTGGAACACTCAAAGTCAAAATTCACCTGACAGATTGCTATAGCCTGCCCTGTCAGCCAAATGCCCCAGAAAATTCCAAAGATACATTGGACCATTAAACCCAAATGGTCACAGTTAATATCAGAGACCTGGTCAACTCGTGGAACTTTCAGATCTGCTTCAGGAGCTGAACTTTAATTCATGCGTAGGCTCCCCTCCAATAAAGTGTAAGGATAAAATTTGTAAAGAGCAAAATATGAAGGAGCTTTGTAACTTGACCATGATTAATACTTAACAATTTACTTTTCTCCAACTGGAAATGGACACCTTGATAACAAATGGTGAATGGAAAAAGAGGAACCTGTGGATGAAAGCTTTGGTGAGGGAAGGGGACACTTACTGAGGTGGTGGCGGGGGGGGGAGTTGAAGCTCAGCATTTCAGCCGAGTTTTTCATAGCAGCAATATAGATGGTAAAAGTGCTCAAAAAGTAAGCTTTGCTTTTGTTTCTAATGGTCTGGAGATTGTTAAAGAATAATGAGCTCCATAGTTGAGTCCTGATAAAATCAAGAAAAATAAGTTGTCTGAGTGTATGCACTTTTCCCACTTGACTCTCTTGTTTTGGTATATATCTTTTTTTAAAAAAGTGGAAATTTATTGGAAGCAAGGGTCTCATTGCCATTTTGTAACTGGTTTAAAATAAAATGACATCTCAATGCCAAGAGCCCATGTGAAATTCCATCTGGTTATATTTTAATATGGACAGTGATCTGGCTGTGTGCATCCAGCTTGATCTTTTCTCTCTTTTTTTAATTTACTTTTACTTTTTTTGTCTTTGCAGTGGGGGGACATGGAAATTCTGCACTCCGCCTACCTCAAAAATCACCGCTCAATGAATCCTTGCCCTGTTTATGACAGTTACACTGACACCCTCTTCCTTTTCTTCATCGCTGTCCTGGGGCGCACCACAGAATCCTACCAACTGATCACTGGCAACAATGTGACCCGTCTGTGCTGTGTGCGCACCACTGACCAGGGCCACAGCTGGAGTGCTGTTACTGACCTGACTGAGTGTGCTATTGGCTGTGCCATTGAAGAATGGGCCACCTTTGCCCTGGGCCCAGGGCATGGCATCCAGCTTCCATCTGGGAGACTTGTTATCCCGGCCTATGCCTATCACATTGACTCGAAAGAATGTTTTGGAAGAATCTGCAGCACCAGCCCACATTCCTTCACTTTCTACAGCGATGACCATGGCAAGGTCTGGAAGTCTGGGGACTTCATAGACAACCTGGCGACTGTGGAGTGCCAGGTGGTGTCAGTGGATCAGGAGGATGGGCATGGTGTCCTGTACTGCAATGCCAGGACGCTGCTGAATTTCCGGGCTCAGGCGCTCAGTGCTGATGGTGGTGCTGCCTTTCAGGAAGGACATCTCATCCCGAAGCTGGTGGAACCACCCCAGGGATGTCATGGGAGTATCATTGGTTTCCCAGCTCCCATAGTGAAGAAGTGTGAAGACCTTCTGGCCTTTAGAGACTTTGACTCTGAAAACCAGCAGCAAACTCGACTTTGGCACAAGGGCTTGAAGCTCAATTTGCGGTCTCCAACTTGGGTCCTGTACTCTCACCCAACCAGCCCAGCAAGCCGGCGGCACCTGGGAGTTTACCTCAGTACCTTTCCACAGGACCCTTGCAGTTGGACTGAGCCCTGGGTTATTCACGAAGGGCCCAGTGCCTACTCTGACCTGGCATTCATTGAGATGGCCTCTTCCAAGAGCCCTGAGGTTCAGCTCCCAGCAGTGGCTTTCGCCTGTCTTTATGAATGTGGGTCCAATTCACCTTATGAGAAAATAGCATTTAGCCTCTTCACAATGCGCGAGTTACTCCACAATATTCCACATATGCCTGCACAGTCCCAGGTGGAGCTCAGCACCATGCCTAACTCTGTCTGCTGTCCCATCACATGAGTTGGGGTACAACTTCTGCAAATGGTGGATGATTAAGATGAGCTTAGCTGTAGTAAGCAGATCAGAAGGAATGATTTTAATTGCTTGAAGCAAAATAAATTGAATTTGTAGCAAACCTGGTGGCTTTTATTTCTTGTCGAAGGACGTGGTCTGATTGGATTGTGTATGGCTCCAGAGTTAGACCAGAGTTCAAATTAATGTGAACCCTGTCTACCTTTAGAAAGAAGTGTGGAGCTGGAGGAACATAGCAGGCCAGTCAGCATGTTCCCCCAGCTCCACATTGTTATCTCTGACTCCAGGTACAAGATAGTAAGAAATGTTGGCTTTATAATTGAGCAAAGCTCTGCTGGTGTCTTTATATAAGGTAGCTTTGTTAGGATTATGTGACAATCTTGAGAGCAAGTGATTCAGTATGTAATGGGGCTAAAGATCAATAAATCCCCTGGATACCTTCTAAGATATCAAAGGTAGCTACAGTGATAATGGATGCATTGGTAGTAATTTTACAGGAATCCTTGGATTCCTGACAAGCTCCAGAGGATTGGAAAACTATCATTTTCAAAAAAACCTGAAGGGGCAAAAACTGATAACTATATAGGTCAGTTAGTTTAACATCTGAAAATAGTAGATGTAATGTATTTGAGTATATCTAGATCTATATACATGGGGATAAATCTGGGGACAGTTATTTACAATATATTAATGACTTGGAAGTAAATGTACTGTCACCAAGTTTATAGATGACAAAAGCAAGTGGTCAAGATGATGCAGAAGTCTGCAGAGGAATAAAGACTAGTTAATCAAGGGGCAAAAATTTTGCAAACGGAATATAATGTGGGAAAATGAGGTTATGCACTTTGACTGGAAGAAAAGAGGAGCTGAATGCTATTTAAATGGAGAAGGACTACAGAAAGCTACAGCATGGAGTTGGGAGTCCTCCTGATAAAAAGCTAGCATCCAAGTTCAATAGGTAATAGGGAAGACTAATGGAATTTTGATCCTTATTTCAAAGTAGAAAGTGTTTTTTTTTTGTACTAAAGGATGTCTTGCTAAAACTATACAAGGTGCTGGTCAGACCACACCAATGATAATGTGAACAGTTTTGGTCCCCCTTCCTTTCTAAGATTATGCAGGCAGTCCAGAAAAGGTTCACTAGGTTGATGCCTGGTATAGAGGGACTGTTCTGCAAGGAGAGGTTGAGTAGATTAGGCCTATACTCATTAGAGGTTGAACAATGATAGGTAAGTTTATTGAAACGTACACTATTCTTGGGGAATACAACAGAGTAGATGCAGAGAGGGGCTAGGCCTGAAGTGTTGGCCTTCCTGCTCCTCTGATGCTGCTTGGCCTGCTGTGTTCAACCAGGTGTAGAGCTGGTTATCATAGATGCAGAGAGGTTGTTTCCTTTTTGTAGGAAAGTCTCTGACCAGAGGGTATAATCATAGAATAAGGGGTTACACACTTAGGACTGATCAGGAATTTCTTGACTGTTGAATCTGTGCAACTCTTTACCACAGGAGGAGGTTGGTCATTTAAGTATAATCTGATTTTTAAAAAAAAAAAACTTAGTAAGGGTGTCCAGATTCTAGGAAAAAGGCAGGAAAGTGTGGCTGAGGATTATCAGATCAGCTACGATGGGAATGGGAGAGCAGGCTGAATGGCCTATTTCCACTCCTACATTCTTATGGTCATTCTCTTTAGTCAGTCAGTTATGTTGTATGTTCTTGTTCTTGTTCCTCCTCAACTGAGGGAGATCTTCTGATCCATTCACTAAGATATCATGTGAGCATAGTGATAATGGTTTTTCACCAATAAAACAGAAGCTTGCATTAATGTTTGAGACACAGCTGTACAAATTCCAGCATAGCAACTGGTAGGAGTTTAAATTCAATCTGATAAAACTGGAATGAAATGTTAGTTTTGATTCAGGTTTCTGACTCTCAGCAAATCCCACCCATCCTTTGGGTCTTGGTGCTGGAAGAGGAGACATGTTCCTGAATGATAGGATCAATATCCACAATGGGGTTGACTGTTTGCTACTCTCTCAAATCACTCCAGTCCAGCCAGTTGCATTGAACAGCTGCAGATAACCAACACTCTGTATCTCTGCCACGTTGACTGCAGTGGTTCACTACCACCTTACAGGGTATTGAGGATGGGCAATAAATGTTGGTCTTGCCAGCAATACCCACTACCTATGAATGACTGCTGGATTTAAACAATATATAACTGACTCTTTCTCTCCCCCACCCTCGTACACCATGAATGCTGAGCAATAAATTTGCCCAGTTACCTGCTTTTTCACCTGGAATATTGTCCTTTTAGCACTTGTGGTTGTCAGATTTTTAAAAAAAAAAAAAAAAATTGCTCATATAATACAGGTGTTACTAGCTTGATCAACATTTATTGTCCATCTTTAAATGCCCCTGAACTGAGTGGCTTGCTCATTCTATTCCAGAGGGCAGTTAAGAGTCAATTATACTGCTGTGTCTGGAGTTACAGGTGGCATTGAGCAGATTTCCTTTCTTAAAAGGACACTGGTAAACAAGGTAGGCTTTATGACAATCAACACAGTCACCATCAGATGAGCTTTCAATCTAGATTTTTTAAATTGAATTCTACTTCAGCATCTGCTGTGGTGGGATTCAGAACCATATCCTCAGAATTTAGACTGAGGTTCTAGATTACTAGTCTAATGATATTACCACCTCACCAGTTGCTGGAATATTCATTTATTACTTTTTTGACTAATTGTGTCACATTTGTCTCTCCATTTCTTTGGCATCTCCCCTAGATTGTAGGGAACAAATTAGAACAAGCTTGTACCGTCACTCATTGCTACTTCCTCAAGCAAGCTGGCATACCAACCAGACAATGTATCCACACTAAACAAAGCAAGCCTTTCAATGTGTCTTGCCTCTTAATTTTTCATCACATCCATTCCTGCTACTCCAAGTTCTCCCTCAGAGGTACTTAACCTCACTTGACCAACCACATGCTTCATCACCAGATCGAACACTGTCTCCTCTTCTAGTTGGACTGAGAGTATATTAAATACATTTCAGAAATTTCTCCCATTTCGATTTGATTTTTGGATAATTGAAGAACCCCAGTTTCACCATCCTATCATTCTGACACAGCTGATCTGTGAAGATTTTCCTCCTCTCTCATTATTTGGCAGCTGATTAGATGTTCCAATTGTGGGATTATATCATAAAAACCAAAAGAACTGCGAATGCTGTTCTGAGGAAGGGTCACTGGACCCGAAATGTTAACACTGGTTTTTTTTTCCTTCACAGATGCTGCCAGACCTGCTGAGCTTTTCCAGCACTTTGTGTGTGATTGTATCATATTTTACTTCTTGAATTTAACCAAATAAATTCTTTTCATTCTTCTTCAAGCATATCCTTTTTCCAACAATACAGTGTCCTTACTAAGTTCCACCACTCCCAATCCCTTATAGTTTTTGGGTATTATCATTATTATTGCCTTTGAGGCAGGAATCATGAGTTAGGCCATTTTCTTTGTGACAATCTTGCTCTCTGCTTAACCATGCTCTCTCTAAGGGAAGGTGGTGCAGACAGCTGAGCATTAAGTGCTGTGTTGTGCAGCATTGCCAAGGTGGGAACAAAGCAGGTAAACCAGCTGGAAAGCATACTTCCACAGGGTCATATTCCCAATTCCGTACCTAACTACTGTAGTCCCCACCTCGTGTGCCCTCTTGCCCAGTACCCACTCAGAATAGAACTCGTAAGCAATAAAACAACACTGGGACGTTTTCAGATGCTCATGAAACTGTCAAACAAACAAAAAAAAAATTCAAAAACCTTTTCGGCAAAGAAATGCAAAACATTTGCAGTGAAATTAACATTGTCTCTGTTTCCAACAGTTTATCTTTTAGATCCCTTTCTGCTTTTTCACATGTAATCCCTCCTGCTATATCCATCCCCTTATATCAACTTTGCCATCCTCATCTACATTTTCATTCTTCCCAGGCCAATCCAACCCTATCACAAATTTCCACTCCTGCTGCCATTCAACCTACTGCCCAATCCCCCAACAGGGGTAACTTTGTTGTTGGGCTCTGTTCATTGTTGTCCTCTTCCACTATATCCTTCCAGTTCTCCATCACAAACCATTAGCACCTAGAGCCATGCCACTCTGTACCTATCCTCCATTCACCCTGTGTGCTTTCACATGTGCTTGCTGTGCGGAACCTGAATCAAGTGTGTGGACAGATGAAAAACATTCTAGAAGATCGAAGGGAGAGCCCAGAACAAAGGAGCATCACCTTTTAAAGTTAAAGCACACTCAGAGGTGATGTTAAGAAGCGTCTCCTCACATAGGAAAATGTGAAATTCTTTCTCTCAAGAACCTGGGACTGACTGAAATTATGAAACCTATAACTGAGCTTTTTGTTGGATAAGGTTGAGTGAGAGAAACAAGACTGGTATGTGGAATTAAATTAGCTGTGATTGCATTCTATGGTGGAATAGGCATCTGCTGTTTTTTCATTCTTTCCAATGATCAATTGTATGATACATTCTGCTCTTGACCCTCTGTAACAGCACCATCTAGCACAGTACTTTGTACAGCAGGCATTGTTCTCTGAAAGACATGACAAAAACGTTTGGAGCCAAGAACATAGGAAGTGGGATAAGATTCTTGAATGTTCCCTCTTCCTACAGCTTTGTGTTAATTCAGTTGCAAAATATACCCTGTGATTAAGTCATTCAAATCAGAAGGCAGACAGCTGAAATCTTAGCAGTAGCTCAAATCCTGCTCTTTGACAATCTATTGGATTTCAGCTGGCACGCTGGCAGGAGGCCAAATGTGCCCTCAACAGCACTATGCTAGGCAGGGGGCAGGACAACTCCAGCTGCCTTCTTGCCATTATTTACAAATCCTGCTGCAAAACATGCACATGTAACTGATGAGTATATTTCAGTAAAGTTCATGTTATCTAACCAACCAGAACACCCCAACTGGCATCTTTGACTCCTCTCCCTGATACAAATGTGCACTTTCACAAACTGGAAGATATTCCATTGCTACCTGCACTTGAGCACTATTGGTTGGCTTCATGGTGACAGATGTGCCTGGAGAAGCACTGGT